ATTATACAGAAATGAAATAAATGCTACGGACATTTTTTTGAAATATGCACTATCTCTGAACAATTTATGCAATCATTAATGAAAGCACAAGCATATATAATATCATTGAGGCAATTCAAATGAAGACATAGACTTACCACCACGATTTGTCCCCTATTAATTGAACTACTAAATAATTTTAGACTCATGCATGCACAAACAGGACGTTAGGTGAGCAAAAATGATTGGCAGAAATTACATAAGCTACACTAAATTGCAAATTGTTGTCACTCCCCGCAATGTAAAACCATTATCACTAAACTTAAAAATAAAATCAAATTGGAATCTTAAACAACAATGTTGAATTTGTTATCATTTTTCTCCATTTAAAACTAAAGTTTCGAATTTTATGCAAAGCCTCCATCAACCAACCATTCTAAAGTATTAGCATTCAATCCCATCTAAAAAATATGCCTTTCTTTCAGCAAACCCTTCTCTATCTCGTCAGGGTAAAGTCCAAATAAGGACTTACTAATTCGAGATGGGTTTTCAAGTTTCATCGAACTAGAATACGTTAACTGAATACCAACAAATGGAGAGATCAATCAGCCAGGTCTTCTTAAACTCAAGATAATCTAATATAGTCAGACTAATCATTTCAAGCAGGCTAAATGTTATGCAAAACCCTCACACAATCCAGACAACTCTATAAATAGATGCAAAGAATTTGATCTGAAATGAATGTAATCATCATTGTCGAATGGTTGGTTATTGTTTTTTAAGATTGGCCTTTTCCCCTAACAGTTTGATGGTTCATATCAGTCAAAACAAAGGGATGAAATCAACTACCAGTCTACAACTAACTCAAATTTTGATCCAATGTATGCCCTATTTTTCACAATCTCCAACGGAAAACAAATGAAGCCAATACATTTATAGTCATCAATTAAACGTGGGATGCACATTTTCTAAAATTGGATGATCACCAATATTTTTTATTCAATTCATTGTTCTTTATGAAAATTAAAAGCAATGAAGAAACAATCTGCAGAAACAAAAACTCAGAGTAAACTAGAAGAACAATGCAAATATAGACCTATGGCAAATTTATTCAAGGAAAACTCTAAATCCCCAGCCAAGGAAGATACGTTTGATAATGAAAGTCCTCATACAATAGAAAAGATTACCTAGAATCAAAATGTATAAGAAAAAGCTTAGAACTTGTAAGTTGTAATGTCTCAAAATCAACACTTAACTCACTTAAAACCCCCGTAAACCTTGAAACATGGTTTATCTTTTTCTTTTAAGGTGAGAAAAATAAGGATTTTATTCATATGATATAAGTAGATATACAAGGACAGTCACAAGCTGTCTACTGAAAAAAGATAAAGGCCTCTAGCCAACCAACTCCTATAATGTCCAGTAGTACCTCAAATTAGCATGGCAAAGCATCTATCTAAAAAAAGAAAAGACCTTTAACTGGAGTATCACTTTAGGCCAAGTTAGTAAGGAATGGATCACAAAATGTTAGATGGAGGGGTTAGAAATGCACCACATGTACATTACAAAGGCATGTGGGAGGAATTTGCATATGACTACTTGGAATTAGTCATTTACAAATCCCTCTTGCATACCCTTTTGATAATCATGTAGTGCATTTATAATCCTCCTATCTAATCTATCTAATGTTTTACTGTTTAGGTGAGGGACTTGCAAATTCCAAGGGATTTACGCAAAGTGATGAAGAAATGCATCACAAAAATTTAGATAGGAGGGATTAGAAATTCTCCACATGAGAATTGCAAATCCATTCTAAATTCCAACCAATCATTTACAAATCCCTCTCACATGCTTTTGCAATTCTCATGTGGAGAATTTCTAATCCCTCTTATCTAACTTTTTGTGATCCATTTCTTCATCACTTTGCCTAAACCCTTGGAATTTAGAAGTCCCTAACCCAAACATTCCTCACTTGGCCTAAGTCCCTAGAGATTTGGAAGTCCCTCACCCAAACATACCCTTAGGTAACTGATGATGTGTTGGCCCACCATTTACAATGGGACCAACTTATAGAACCAGATTTCAGTTGAATGCCCACTCTATGCACTAACTGGTGCTGCCACATGAAACCCATGTTTTTACATAAGCCTTACAGCTCTATCTACCAGTGGTACGGCATGAAACATGCAGTGATGTGCTTTAAACATGTTTTATAACCTTCAAAATTCTATCTACCGGTATTCCTTAAAATTAATACTAATTCCAGGAAAGCTTCGGAGCCAATCTCTGATATTTCGGAACTCAGCTTTTATCAGGATAGCTACTTAAACAGAGCAGCGAAGAGATCAATACACAGACGTTTAAAAATGCCAAACTTATTATGCCTGCGTCTATCAAAGGAAGAATCAAATTCAGCAAGTAGAAGAGAGAAATGTATATACAATAACCAATAGAGTAAGTAGTTTTGACACTGCCATCCTACTTGCAGAAGAATAAAGTTTAATACACGATTGCATGGAAGTTAAGTTCTTCAAATTCAAAAGATGTATTATATTTATTTAGAAAGAAATGCTTTATTCCAACAGCCATAGGACATCAACATCGCAATTACAACAGAACAGGGCGATTTGCTTCTTGAGGACGTATGCGTGACACTTTAAGATCTCCTTTACAATACCATTAGATTTTCTCTGCAGCATAGAGTGGAGCTTTTCTACTACGGAAGATATATCCTAACAAACTATTCCATGTTACACTTGTTGGTTGTTTTGAAATGATAACGGGGAGCTAATATAAACCATGTACTGTAGATAACGATGTTTGAGAAAGAACCCTAAATTATTAACAAAATTATGTAAACATTTGGCCTAATTTAATCGGATCACTTCTAATCCTCCAAGTAAACAGTCTATCGAAAGTCTATCTGATTCTACCCTCCTTGTTTCCTGCTATCGAATATACACGCATATCACGCCCCTATTCTGTGTTTTAGGTAACTTAGGAGCTCATTAGAACACAGTTAAATGTTTCATGCATCTAATGCTTTGAAGCTTCATTTGTTCCCAAAAAAATGTATCAGTAGAAATACAAGAACGACTTACCTGCAGTTGTTGACCTCGAATTCGACATTGTTGCCGATTTCCTTCCACCAGAAAAGATAGTACCAATCCTCTTGGAAGAACAGTTACCTAGCAGGAGACATTGTCCACAAAAATTAAGATTATAATCAATTATAAAGTAACATTTATCCTCCTTTGATGAATCGAACAAAGTAGTTCAAGATAATGCCTACCTCTTTACGTGAGAAGCCAGATTTTACACATCGCGTCGGAAAACGGACAACATTGTGAAGTGGGTCTGTTTGGTTACCGAGAAAATGCAGGAAATGCAAAATCAAAACTTCGAACTCCAACTATCTTAACTAATATTAACTGATCTAAGCTTTCGGTGATGGAAGGTTTTTGAAATTGTTGAGAGATTAGGGTTTTTCTTTCTACATATCCGTTAGTAGAATAGGGCAGGATGGTGTAGAATTACGACAGAGACGCCCACCGATACTGTTCTTAATTTAGTATTTGTCAGTTACGAGTAGGATTTTGAAGTGGGACTTGGATTCTCTGCCCTCCAATTTCTATGCCCTTCTCGTGCCCTCTTGTATTTGTGGTCACGGTTAAGTCACGTCAACATTTTATATTACTATTTTTTTTTTATTATTTTTATAAAAAAATAATATAAAATATTGACGTAGCTTAACCGTGACCACACAAAATAGGAGGGCACACAGAGGGCACCTAAATGGGAGGGCAGACAATCCAAGTCCTTTGAAGTGGAGTTACAATATTTAAATGTTAGGTGTGGGATTTTGGAGTGAGCTTACGATATTTAACATGAGTTTGCTCTCTAGTTATGATATTATATAGAATTATGAGAGAAAAGACTATACGCGGATTTTTAATAATACCGATACTATCTTTAATTTGATATTTACTAGATCCATTTTTCGTTAGATGTAGAGTGTTATCACAAAAAATATCGATGTTAGTTGATGTGGGATTACGATATTACTTTTTTTTTTTTTTGTTTTTTTTCAGAAATAGATGTGAGATTTCAACAGATGGTAGTGTGGCCGGAACTTTACCGTCCCGAACAAATGCTTTGGGCTTCAGTCCAATATTTTGGGTCTCCATATGACCATGGGCCTTAGACCCTCGTTTGCTTCCCACTCTCCTAAAATGTTGAGATTTTTTTTTTAAAATTTTATTTTTTTAGTAAACCTAACAATTACAAAACTGGTTAAAAAAAAATAATTATAACTATATTAGAGTAACATAGGAAAATGTTGTACCATCGAAGCTTATATAATGTCATCTTGTGAGTTAGATCATTAAATTACTTTGAAATTAATAACAATATAACCGGATGAAATTATGTTGATTAAACATTATCGCTTTTTTGATTGAAATTAAACATTATCTCTAACATTAAACTATCGACTTCTATAATGTTTCCAATATGTTTTTATTTCAACATTTTAAAATAATTTTTTTTAATAAATAATATTATCTATACTAAGGGAGGTGGTGGGTGGCTAAGCCTTACAATGAGCTAGCAATAATGTGATTCAAATTCGTATTTGACGATAATCGAACTTAAGACCTCTTAGAATACCACCAAATTATAGTACTAAGTGATAACCTTTTAAAGTACTTATTTTTCTTTTAAAAAGGTGTTTGACCGTTTTGATAAGAGAAAATTAGAGTAATAGTAAACGATTGGTTCTTAAACTTGTTTCAATGTAGAACAATGGTCATTTTAACTAACTTTGTTAGAATTTTCAGTCATTTTTTGTCTCTTTAAATAATATATTTTGGAAAATAAAATTCTAACAAAGTAGCCGAAACAAGATCAAGAATTAGTACTTACTTAGCTCGGAAGCCAAAGAGGACCACAGCTTCATTTACTATTTTTGATTATAAGAGTTTTGAACTTTAAAAAAGGGAAAATAAAACGAAAAATTGAGTGGTGCCCAGAGCACTATCTTTCTCCTTCACAACAATCTCTTTTGGTCTCTTATTTCAGTGTGTTGTTAATCTTCTGATACACTTCGGACTTCAAAAGTAGAACCCATTTCTCAGAAACTCTATTTGTTTACTTTCTAAAATTCTGACACAATTTTGTTGAAGGTTGTTCGTTGAGGTAGCATAGCATGGCTTCCATCATTGCAAGCTTGCCTCCACCACTGTTGGTCCATGGCAGAAATACAAACACGACCCTTTTCAGAGCTCTTCCAAAACTCCCCGTTTCTTCCGTTTCAGGTGAGCCTCACGGTCCTAAATGCTAAAGCTGCTATTTGGGTTTTTTGTTCTTTCTTTATTTCTCTCCAATTTGAATTGCAATTTAACAGAGTATGTTTAATTTGATTAAGCATATTGAATTTATTCGTTCAGTGTTTGGTTCGGTTGTTTTGAGTGAAGGATAAAACTGAAATTCAGCTACTTTAGTTGAGAGAATTTGGCAATTTGGTCAAAAGTGGTGTTTTATTTTAATAATCGTTTTCAATTGGATTGAGCTTTAACATGACGAATCTTTTGAATTAGGGTATGTATTTGACTACATGATTTTGTTGAGAATGAATCCCATATTGATGGGAGGAGGGACCGTGCATGTGCGTATAAGTAGTTGGACTACTCGCCAATTGGTTTTATGGTAGAACCTTTAACTTTTTTCATGGTATCAGAGCATGTTGTCCCACGTGTGAAATCTAACAACCACACGCCCTCAGCGTCACCCTGTCGTGTTGTCCATGTGTTATTGTCCATGTGTTAGGCTTGAACCACATTGATGAGAGTAGGGACATTGCATGTGCTTATAAGTAGTTGGGCTACTCACCATATAGCCAATTGGTTTTATGGTGGAACCTCAACTTTAAAAGGATTGGAAACTCGGATAAGATAAAGCTAAATGCAACATCAGAAAACAAAACCTTCCACATCCATGTGTTTAGATTGTTAATTATCTTTATGATCACATTCAGCGCAGCAATATGCAAAATAGAATTCGTACTAACCTCCAGCCATGATCGTCCAACAGCAGGTTTCCAGCGGCACAGTGAAATCGAAAGCTCCTGTATCTCTAGTTTAAGTGATATTCTAGCCTATTGCCACTTGAGTGCCTTTCTCAGATGGAATGCAAGGCTTTGTATAGGCTAGGCTAGGGACCCCTTAATCTCACGTGGAAACAAACTGACTCCACTAATCCCTACCATCAAGGGATTCGCTGAGTAAAAATCTCTCTTCTTATCTGTCAACTAGAGTCATGCTCTTAGTGAAATGTAATCAACTAGAGTCATGCTTGGAGTGGGTTGTTTGACTAATTCATATCTTAAGTAATTACCAATATCAGTAACTAAATATTAATGACTAATATGTGGGCCACTTAAGTGAAAATATTTGAACGTTGCTAACATAGACGTGAAACTCGAAGGCGTAAGGCCCCACTTGATAATCATTTCACTTTTTTTGTTTGTTTTATTTTCCACTCTTTGGTTGTAAATAAAGAGGAAATACTAAGAAAGGATGGATGAATAAGGATTAAGGAAGGGTGGTAGGAAGGATGTGTAAGAAACCAAAATTTAGAAGAACAAAACCGTCCACATCCATGTGCATTTCTTTCACATCCTTCCTACTACACTCCATTGCCATTCTTGATTCATTCATCCCTTCATCTACTTTAACAAAAATTGAGAACTAAAACAAGAAATGGTTATCAAACGTTCTCTAAGTAATCAAAAATTTTAGAGGTTGATGGTTATGTGTTTGAAGTGTCATATGAAATGCAATTTGACATGCACATTTCCATGCCTTGGTTGCACTATTCTCTCTAACTTAGGTGCGTAATTTTCTGACTTTTCAGAGAGACAGAATCGTGTTGCTGTTGTGGTGAAGGCTACTGGGGAAAGCTCCGAGTCTTCAACATCTATTGTGAAATCTGTTCAGAATGTGGTAAGCTCTTTCCCTCTGCGCTTTCATGATCAAATTTTTATATTTATGATTTGTGCTCAGTACATAAAGAACTATAGAGGGTTTCACGTTATGCTTTGGCTAGCTTGAATCTGCATGCAATATTTCCTTTCTTCTTTTGATTCCTCTAATGGTTTTCAATTGTGTGCAAAGTTTATGAATTCCCCCTTCGGTAAATTTTGAAAAAGCGTGCATTTTTCTTAGCTATGAGAATGGGCTGTGATATAGATAACACATGATTTTGTTTTTTAGCCAAGAATTTGTCATTCTATGGAATGAAGAAATGCATGCAATATTTTCTTTCTTCTTCATTCGATAGATTGACAAGTTAATTTTGATCTTTTTTTTTTTAAATCAGGCTTACTATTTTCTTCCTCTCGCTTTGATTTTAAACAGTGGGATAATTCTGAAGATCGGCCAGCTCTTGTTGCTTTGGGGTTTGCAGCTGTAGTAGGTTTATGGACATCAACGAATTTGATTACAGTAATTTTTCTTATCTCTCTGTTCTTTTCAGTTCTTGAAAGGAATGAAAAGTGTTGTTGCAATAGTTGATACGAGCTTGTATGTACTAATACCAACTATCAACATCTGGCACTTTCTGTGGCATTCATATATAGGAACCAAGTTACACTGTCAAAGCTTAAAACTTCTTAATTTTTTTTATTTCCAGAGTAGAAAATAGAATATCACAAAAGTTTTATCAGCCTTTGAGGCCAGATGGAGCAATTGGAGTCATTATCCAAAAGTTTACCACTGCCATTTATTTCACCCAATATTTTCTTAATTTTAGTGATTTTAGGTTATGCATTTTTTATGATCATAATTTAGTTGTTTCTTTCTTTGTTTTTATATATGATGATCTTGTACTTCGCAATGGAGAAAGCTATCCCATTTAGACAGTATATATTGTGTATGTTACATGACGAGTTTGAAATCTCTTCTAATCTTGCTAGATTTTCATGTTACTTGTTAGAGGTGATTGTGATTACATTTATCTTCCTGTATTGGATGGCTTTGCAAAGCTCATGAAGGGCATTTCTAATCCCTCTTATCATACATTTTGTGATCCATTCCTTGATAACTTGACCTCAATTCCTTTGCACTTCGAAGTTCCTCACCCAAACATAACCTAAAAGTAGGATTTCGTACCCTTCTTTTAAAACAAGGTGGTAGGTCCTCTTCTTTTATTCTGATTGAGATCTTGAATTTGATTGTTAATATTATGATAAGGATTTAGGAGTTAATCTTACAAAGTATATAGTTTGATCAAACTTTAAGATGTGTCCATTCTGCTTCTTAAAACAAGTACATTATTGATCAATTTTGTTCTTAAGTAATTTGGTAAAGAGTGTATGGTATACATTATGAACCGTGACATACAGATTCAAACTTCGTGAGGTTTAAATTCATCTCTTCTCACTAAAGGGTATGGAATTATTTACTAGACCATTTTCAGATGCCTTTGGGATGGTGTACTTGAGAAATCAAATTCAAAGTTTCTAGTGTTACTTCTCCAATGTGTGATAGATTTTTAGGACAACAATCATCATAGCAATTTTGAGCAATTGCAATTGTCTAAACCTTAAGTATTATCGTAGAGTTTTTAACTTTGCCAATTGCCACACGTATACACTATTTTCATCAGTGAACTTACTTTCAGCTTAGTAGGAGTTCTGACGGTTTAATACCCCTCTCCTTGTCCTTGATTCCCCATTTATGTGAACAGGCCATTGACAAGTTGCCGCTTATCCCAAGTGTGCTGGAATTTGTCGGAATACTTTTCTCTTCGGTAAGTACGTGATACATGTATGTTGTAGTTGGTTGCTATGGGAGCTCAAATGTATATTAACTTGTTCATGTTCTTGTTTCAGTGGTTTATATATCGATATCTCCTATTCAAGCCTGACCGGTAAGAGAAAACCTGATGACTGCAATTTTATTTTGCTCTGAAAATAATGAAGATTACCTGGAGCATGGCTTTTGGGACGGATTTCTTCTTGCAACTTAAGTTTGAATGCAAGAACATGTTGTTTCAGTAGAGTAATTGTGTTTCTTGTTTTTGTGTTTACAGGGAAGAGTTTTTCCAAATCGTGAACAAATCAATATCCAATATCTTGGGGCAGTGAATTGGAATTGCAGCTGTCCTGAGAATGATTTTAGTTTGGGGGAGGGATTGGCAGGAACTTAATATGTATTACAGTAGCAATCAAACTCATTATTCCGAGTCAATCAAGAACCTCAAGTTGGTCTTCAATCAAGGTCTTTGAGAAATCATTTTTTCCAATCCTATTATTAAAATACCATATTTAAGAGGGAAAGAAAGCATCTGATAAAAAAGGAGTGGAAAAATATTATCATCAACATTTAACCGTTTGATTACCATCATCAACATTTACTTCTTTCACAAGAAAAGAACCTAGTGTTCGTCCATTTCTTCTCGGGAGTGGGCGCATCATATGTTCAATGCACATATGGACGCGGGTGAGAGGAGTACCCACCGGGATAAAGATAGAGGGGGGCTGCGTTGGTGTAGATTTGCAGTGGGTCGGGCCGGTGTGGAGTGGGGGAGAGTACGGTGGTGTGGTGATGGGGATGATGTGCAGGAGGTTGCACGGGTGGTAAGCAAGTGGTAGAGAGAATGTGTTTATTTTTTATTTTTTTATTATTATTTTATTTTTTTAACTTTTTAATATTTATGTTTTTTAGTAATAAGAAAAATAAATTTGGGGCATGCCACATCGTTTAACTGAGGATTTAATTGAAAGATTAACAAAACGGAAGTATGAATCTACATGAAAAACGTAACTTTAGGTATGAAAGTGAGATTAGCTCCCAAAATCATAATTCTATTAGTCTAGTCGTTAAGTTCTCCATGAAACGATGACCTAGCAAACTTCTTATGAGGTGAGAAACTAGGACGGTCTGCTATGTCCAACTTTTGTCGAAAGTATGGATTGACATGTTGGACATCATGAATAAACGCTCGAAGACATGACGCCTCATCCGGAAGCGACGTCTAAAATCCTTTTATGTGTACACCGAGTTGGGGTTGAAGTAGTTGTTCATTAGATTGTCATGCCATCTTTCTGTTTCGTGGTTTGTAAGAGCAACCAACAACAAAGCCACCCCATTGAGGTTGTTCCTCAGTTGGCTCACACGCCATGACCCCAGCCATATCTGCCATATATGATGTGTTGCACATGCTTCATCTTCCTCATCGTACTCCTCATCTTCTCGTCTCATCTGCTCCCATTTTTCTTCCAATTCAGAATTGGATGAGGACCCCTAGTTGGAATTCGAATAGGATCTAAAGTTGGAATTCGTTGCAAATTTGAATTGAAAGAGATTGAGTTGAAAGAGATGTTGGAAAGGGCAAAGCTGAAGGTTAGTGAATTATAGCCCAATATCTACCCTATTTATGGACATTGGAAGCTGAAGATAAGAAGTGTCACGCAGATAAAAATCCTACCTAAAATCCCACAACCAATTACATCTCAACATGTGGCACTCGAAATCCTATATGAAAAATTATTAAGATTACATATCGACAAGAAATCTGGAGAGCTATTCACATATTGACACATGGCACTTGAAAATCCGTGATGTAAAATTATTGAGATTCCTTATCGACAAGAAATTTGCAAAGTTACTCACATATTGACACGTGATACTCGAAATCCGAGACGTAAAATTATTGAGATTCCATATCGACAAGAAATCTGCAAAGTTGGACACATATTGACACGTGACACTCGAAATCCAAGACGTAAAATTATTGAGATTCTGTCTCGAAAAATTATTGAGGTAGTTTTATTTAAGTAACAGTATTAATTCAATTAAAATAATAAATTATGTTTGGCCTTTTCGATTGGAGATGATTTTTTATCACATGGCTATGTTTAGCCTATGGCCCTTTGGCCCCTTGATTGGAGATGGTAAGAAATATGGTATGATACTGTTCATTAAAATAACAATTTCTTAAAGGACTATAGGGCTAAAAGGAGCTCTTTGGCCCTCGTTTGGTTGGAGATGACCTAATTGGAGCATTAAGCCAACCATGCTGCTTTGTGCCATCTAACGTATATAACATATATACACACATGGCACCATCACCTTTTTCCTTTTTTTTTATATACACACATGGCACAATCACCTTTTTTCTTTCTTTTTTTTATATATTATTTTATCATCTCTGTTTTTTAAATGTTTGCTTTCCCTTCTTTTTTTTATGGGAACTTTAACGAAAAGCTCCCGGTACTGCTTTTCAGCAAACGCGGCATTGCGTGTGGACAACAAGCAAACATGTGACCATCTTGTCGATGCATCAACCAACACCATAAAGTATCTAAATGGTCTGCAGGTTGGTTGGATAGGTCCACAAATGTCCCCTTGAATCCCTTGAAGAAATTTAGGAGGGTCTTGATTAATATATGTATGGGATGGTTGAGTATTCAACTTCCCTAAAGAACACGCTATGCATGGCGGGACTCTAACGTGTGGATGTAACTTATGCCCGTGAAGATTTGAGGATACGACGCATCATGTCACGTCCAGGATGTCCCAAACGGTCATGCCAAAGCAACAAAGTGTCCTGGAACTCAGGCATAGAGCCGGCCACACTGTGGGCCTCTATGTTGCGAATGGTTGTGATGTACAACCCACTCAACAGACGTTCCAACTTCTCGTGAATATGCTTCTGGCCATATTCGTATGAAGTGATACAAAGAAATTCAGAACCATGATCTTCAGTGGTTTCAAGATGATATTTATTATCTCGAATATCTCTAAAACTTAACAACGTTCTTCCGAAACGTGGAGAATAGAATGCCTCCTTAATGGTCAAGATTGTACCATTAGACAACATGATACGTGCCTTTCCGTATCCTTCAATCAGGTTGGATGAGTTTGAGAGAGTTGTCAAATGAGCTTTCTTGGGTATGAAGTTAGTAAAATAGTGTCGTTCACGCAAAATGGTGTGCGTAGTTGCACTATCTGCCAGACAACTAACTTCCCCACTAGACATACCTAGAAATAAATTGATTGAATTGGTCACATGCATAAATATAAGTCCATTCATTCAATTAAGCAATTTGAGAAAATAATATCCATTCCAATAACAATCCATAATTCAAAACAAACCAAAACCAAACAAATGATTCAAAATACATAGAAAAATTGTTCAAAATTAAACCATAAACCTAGCAAAATAGGGGGTAGGGGCCGGCCACTCCTAGTGGGTTCGGCCACTAGGGGCTAATGCCCTAAAACATATCTAATTTAGTCTTCTATAGGTGCTGATGCCTCCTGGAAGTCTGATATCTCCATTGATGATGTGCAAAGTTAGACTCACGACGGGAATGATACTTGGCAATAGCCTCAGGGGAAGCTCGGCATACGCGTGACCAATGATCCTTTGATCCACAACGATAGCACATATCCAGTTCAGTAGAAGCGGCCTGAACGGGAGCTTTGCCCTTGGTCTTGAAGTTTGGGACCTTAGGTGCGAGTGGTGGACGCTGCTGGATCGCAATTCTTCCCTTTAGTGCGGCACTCTGTTCACCTTGGGCCCGTGGTTGGGCTTGCCGCCCATTTCCACGGCCACGACGGTTCTTTCGTCGTTTATGGCTGCTAAAATTGGTCGCATACGCTTCAGGCACAGCGTTTGAGCCAGTGGGTCGAGCTTGATGATTCCTCATCAAAAGCTGGTTCTGCTTTTCAGCAAGAAGTAAAACAGAGATCAAATCCGAAAACTTGGTGAATTTCTGTGCCCTATATTGTTGCTGCAGGACAATATTGGTGGCATGGAAGGTCGAATAGGTCTTCTCCAGGAGATTCGGTTAGTTCCACTTTGCAGAATTTCAACAAAGAACGGATTCTACAAACTTCAGAGTTGTATTCATTCACAGAATTAAAATCTTGGAAGCGAAGATGCTGCTAGTCGTGTCTTGCTTCATGCAAGTATATGTCTTTCTGGTGATCGAAACGGTCAGCCAGAGCAAGCCAGAGGGTGCGTGGGTCTTCCTCAGCGAGATACTCAGTCTGCAATGCATCATGGATGTGTCTTCGAATGAAGATCATTGCAGTAGCCTTCTGAGCTTCGTCGACAGGTTTGTCGGCAATAGGTGTCTCAATGGTGGCTCTAATACCCTTTGCAGTGAGATGGAGCTTCACGTCTTGAACCCACTTTAGATAGTTTCTTCCAGAGACTTCGAGAGTGGAGAAATCGAGCTTGTTCAAGTTCGACATGTCCCTAAACAGAAGGAAAAACGTGATTAGTCATATGGTAAGCCATAGACATATATCGTAGAACATACAGGTTCTATAGACATGTATTAGTTTAATTTATGCATGAAAACTTCAGGTTTCATGTGGTATGTTTTGAATGAAAACTTCAGGTTTCAAAGGCACTAATTTTGAAACTACAGGTTCAAATTAGTTTTATGAACTATTAGTTCATAATGAGAGGTTCCTGCAAGAAACACAAAATGCAATATACTAACTAAGTGTAGTGGATTTGAGTTGGCTTCGGGAACTCAAGTGTGAGAGCTTCGGTACTACGAAAGTATGTGACGGTTCAAAGTATAAAAATAAATTATTGAATCGTTAATGTCCAAAAGTGATCTTCAGGTCAATAATTTTGAATTCATTATCAGATTAGTGGACTGCAGGTCACTTTTAATTAATTCAATAAATCGGGCCATACAAGGTCGATTGTAGAAGCAAGTAATATTAACATACTGGTTAAATTATTTAAAATGCTAAAATAATAGCTTGTGGGTGGAAAAATGCCCCAAAATAATTTGGGCATGGGTGCCGTAGGTAAGGGAAGGTACGGGGTGCCTTGAGTAAAAACGGCAGGGCTTAGGGTATGGCTGCAGGCCACGGGAGGGACAAAACCCCCAGCTGTAGCTGGTTTAGGTATTTTGGTCTAAGGGGTCACGGGGGCAAGCCCAAGGCTTGCGAGTTGGTCACGCAGGGAGCCCAGCGAAGCTGGGGCCTTGATTTTGTGGCGCAAGAGGCCCAGCGCGAGGGCTGGCTTTGTGTGCCTTGTGTGCATAAGGCGCCCAGCCGAGGGCTGGCAGGTTTTTGATGCAGGCCGAAAGAGGCCATGGGCTGCAGGCCCAGCAAAGAAACCAAAATCAGGCCGAAGCCTGTTGTCCTTTTTGGCACAGGGATGGTGTGATGCACCAAATCCCATTCCCTTTTTTTTTTCAATTCCCTTTAGGTTTTAGGAAAAACCTAATATGCTTCTAATTTAATTTTATACATTGACT